ATTGACTTTGAAGCTAGTTTAGCTTTTTGTTAGCGGTTAGCTGCTGTAGCTCCCGCACATAAACAGTCTGTTTTCTATTGGTCTATTGTAAAGTGACTACATTGGCCGTATATTTGTTACTGGACCAGTATTGATATGTAAATGAGCTGTGAATAGACGTGTGAATGATCCACATTTATGCATATAATTAATTACCGCGGTGCGCACGTTTTTACGGCTAAAGGCTAATAGCGATAGTTTACTAGCTAGGAGTTATGGGTCGGTCGCGATCGAAGCGGCTCTTAGATCTGGCTCTTTGAAGCGAACAATGGGAGCCTGCTTCTTATTGGGAGCCGTGTTTTCTCTTTTTCTCACTTTTTCTCTTCATGCCGCATGTAGACCCGTAGTTTGACAGCAGCAGCGGCTGAAAACGAAACTTTCAGAAATCTGCGTGTGCATAGGATAAAAAAAGTGCATATTTGGCTGCAGTTCAGCATAAAATGAATATGCCATTAGGCCAATCTACTGTATGTAAATTTGATGTGAAGAGTCAAAATAACAATAAATGTTGCCTAAATAAACCCAATTTAGAATTCACTAGAGCCAAACCTAAGTTTTTTAATCAATTCAAGATTTACAGTGAATTTTTACATCACTAAATATATCGGCGATTATATCTGCTATCGGCAGCCCCCACTCCCATTATATCAGTTTCATATCGGCCACAACAAAATCCATATCGGTCGGGCTCTAAAAATAATGCCAAGCAATTATGAGATCTGACTTTTTTGAGGACAAAGGTTTTGTGATGCAAATATATCACTCTTTTGAACACATTGTTTTGAGAAGAAAAACGCTTTATTTTAATGTCCCCAGCCAACTTGCCGGACTACTTTCGTCAGCACCAAAACCGGTCAGTATCTCTGCTCACCAGACGCTGTCGGGGGTAACTCAGTGTGGATGCACGACACTGCTGACGGGAATGCCATACAGATTCATGTCAAAAAACCCAAACTATCTCTTTAAAGTTGTCATATTAATTAGAGCCCGACCGATATGGATTTAGCTGTGGCCGATATGAAACTGATATAATGGGAGTTGGAGCTGCCGATAGCCGATATAATCACCGATATATTTAGTGATGTAAAAATTCACTGTAAATGTTGAATTGTTTAAAAAACTTAGGTTTGGCTCTGGTGGATTTTAAATTGGGTTTATTTAGGCAACATTTATTGTTATTCTGCCTCTTTACATAATATTTACAGACAGTAGGTTGGTTTAATGGCATTTTTGCATCACATTCTAGACACTAGTGATGGGTATTCCAGTTCTTTTTAGAGAACCGGCACTTTTGGCTCGGCTCACTAAAAGCTGCTGGTTCTTTTGGCTCCCAAGTGGCTCTTCAGATTGTTTTGTTGCAAGCAGGTCTGAATCAGGACTGAACCAGGTCTAAACCAGGACTGAAAAAGGACTAAACCGGGACTTATTTATTTTATGCTAAACTACAGCCAAATATGCTCCTTTTTTTATCCTATGTAATAAATTACCGTGGCGCGCCCGTATTTACGGCTAAAGGCTAATAGCGATTGTTTCTTTACTAGTTATGGGTCGGTCGCGATCGAAGCGGCTCTTAGAGCCGGCTCTTTGAAGTGAACGACGGGAGCATGTTTCTTATTGGGAGCCGTGTTTTCTCTTTTTCTCACTTTTTCTCTTCAAGCCGCTTGTAGACCCGTAGTTTGACAGCAGCAGCGGCTGAAAACGAAACGTTCAGAAATCTGCGTGTGCATAGGATTTTAAAAAAAAAGTGCATATTTGTCTGTAGTTCAACATAAAATGAATAAACCAGGACTAATCTTGGGCTCGAGTGAGGGAGAGAGATAGAAACCGAGTCCCGACACTCAGACCTGGTTAAGTTCTGGTTTAGTCCTGTTTCACACATGGTTTAAATCTGTTTTAGTCCTGGTTTAGTCCTTTTTCAGTCCTGGTTCAGTTCTGGTTTAGTCCTGCTTGCAACAAAACAATCTCAAGAGTCGCTTGAGAGCCGAAAGAGCCAGCTGCTTTAGTGAGCCGAGCCAAAAGAGCCGGTTCTCCCCCCAAAAAAAACTGGAATACCCATCACTAGTAGCTAGAATGTGATGCAAAAATGCCATTAGGTCAATCTACTGTATGTAAATATGATGTAAAGAGTCAGAATAACAATAAATGTTGCCTAAATAAACCCAATTTAGAATCCACTAGAGCCAAACCTAAGTTTTTTTAAACAATTCAAGATTTACAGTGAATTTTTACATCACTAAATATATCGGCGATTATATCGGCTATTGGCAGCGCCAACTCCCATTATATCAGTTTCATATCGGCCACAACAAAATCCATATCGGTTGGGCTCTACACTGTAGTATAGTGTCCGTGCTGTAGTAAGTACAGCACGGACACTCGACAATGACATAATGTTTGCAGGTAATAATTAATACATTTAAAAAAAAAAAAAAGTGATATTGGATAATTTCTCACGGCACACTTAGTGTGCCGCGGCACAGTGGTTGAGAATCACTGAACTAGACAACTGCTCACATGTCAAAATACCTTTTGACCAGTGCAGTCTCATTGCAAACAAATGATTTCTGTAACTGTCAGAGTTTGCCTCAAAAGGTTGTGCAACAAAATATTAAGTTAAAGGTACCATCATTTTTGTCCAGGTCAGTTTCATTATTTGCTTTTTCTAATGATTCTCTTTGAGCAATGTTTAATTTACATAGGACCATTTTCAGTAATTTTTTATTTATTATTGCTTTTCTTAGTTTCAAGTTATTTCAGGGACCATTGTTGATTTTTCTTTCATTACAAGAGGGGTAACAACAATTTTGAACATATCTGTATACACTATTGTCATGATTAAAATGGATGCATTTCATATAAACTTTGCACAATTAGTGGTTTAACAAAGAAATATTGTTGCTAAAATGTATTTGGTTCTTAAAACAGTGTGTATGAGTATCGTGGGCCGTGTATCGAATTGAATCACGAGCGACCCTGACAACAGGTACTATGTTTACAAAGGGAGATGTCAATTTACCTAATTGTTTTTATTATTTATTATGCCAAACTAATTTCCATATGAAAACAGGTAGCATTAGTTTAGAGACGGTGAGCTAGTGAGTCTATAAATCAAATGAGGTAATGCGTTTGAAACATTTGGCTCCTCAAACCTCTCCTCACCATTTTGAAGCTGCGGTGCTCCTTTTCATTAAACTCATTGATTTTTGACTGTACAAACCTGCTCGCTCATGCTCCGTCAGCAGTAGCAGAGTCGGGGAGGGGCAGGGGGCGGGGGTGGAAGACGCAAATCCTCCATTTTTATTTTTACAGAAAGTGTTTGACAAAGTCAAAGCCAGTCTCTGCTCTGAATGTGCGGTGGAGGCTGGATAACGGTGACATAGCAGGAGCCATGAAAACCACCTTTGTAAACTCACATTAGGGAAGGCAAAGAAGTATGGCCTCAAAATTCTCCCACTGCTTAAATGAGTTTACAGGAACGATCTGCCCTGATTCTTACTATATCAACACATTATTCAGTATATGAGAACTGCATTTTTTTAAATCAACATTTATAATTCATACCAGTTATCTGTACTTTGTTAACTTAGTCTTTTACTGTTCAGGATCAAATAATTAACTCAATGATTTTTGATATTTGAACTTTCACTGATGTCTTATCTTTATTTCCATGATTATTTACACAGTAGATACTCACTGAATTCATCAAAACTATGACAGAGTGTAGTAAACAAAACAATACTCAAATTAACTCAAAACTAGATTTTTAAAAATAGCCTCCCCCCCCCAATGAATGTGAAGGTGTGTAAGTAGAAGATGTAACAATAAACAAAATATCATGATATTGTATCATCAAAAGCCTCACAATAACACCAAGGGTCATCACAATATATTGAATTAAAAGTTTATTTGCTTAAATTATTTGTTATGGTTCAGCAACAGCAAAAAATCTGATAGAACTCCATATATCATGATCCTTTGTTTCAGTCCAGTCTACATGATGAAATAACTGAAATAACACCTTTTAAATCTTAATTGTTTGGCATATGACAAAAAAGTAGCATATTCACAGTTTTGTTACCCTTCACAGAATACTGCAATAAATATCATACCGTGAGATGCATATCGTGAAAATATTGTGAGACATGGTGACATACGGTGTTCCCATATCGGGAAATTACCATTATTGTATTTTGTGTTGTATCATTCCTAACACTAATTCACTATTTGAATTTGTCCCAACCTGAAACATTTATGAACCTGTCATCAAAAATATGGACTAAGATCTTCTGCATGACAGTCAAACTGCTTGCACCATCTGTGTTTTGGTTTGTGTGACCTCCCTTCTGGTTTTGAGGCTGGCTCGCCCTGGCGAACATTCTGATTGGATCCTGCAGCTTCAAAGGTCAGGCTAAGGTTAATTGGTTTTGTGTCTGTCTCAAACACAGTATGTACTTGTGCCTGGGCTATTTTGGTTTTCAGTGGTGTACACCTTTACAGATATTTTAAGAATATTTTTTTAAAGATATAATTTCAAGGCTGAGACATACAAAATTAGGGCTGCAATTTGAATGGTTGCAGTTGTGTTTAGACCTCTATAACCATGTTCTGAAATGTCCTTGTATGTCAGATGCAGTCACCCTCCCTGTGTCTCTTTAAGGTCTTATTCTATGCAAAAGCATGCATATTCTGAAATGCATGGAATTCTTGGATTTGCTCAAAGTTCAAGTTATAGTCTCCTCTTGACAATTATCATGAAATTTGTAAATTTTAACAGACTTGAATCCAGTTTGAAAGGCAGAGGATAAGAACCATCAGAGAAGCGCTTAAGAGTCATTGTTTAAGTTCTCCTTTGCTTCTGTTTTTTCACAACAAAAGTCTTTGAAGTAAATATTTCCAGGGGTGTTTTTTGTTCAAACCCAGTTCTTTTGATTTAATGTCATCTTTTCTCTTTGTTTTCACAGAATCAACTGGCCCAGCCAAAGTGGTGAGAGCCGGAAACCCACCCAAAACCAGGCGGGGAGGAAAGGTGAGCGTGCGCACTTTTAACACCTGAGTTTGTCGAGTAGTATCCATAATCAGTTACTAGTAATCCACATTAAACCTACTATTGAAAAAGATACTCTAGGTTATAAGGATTTCAATGGGACAACAGCAGAAAGTTAGGGAGGTAGCTGAAGATTTGGTACTTTTTGGTATTTCTTTGTAAAAATGCAGATTAAACTCATGATTCACACATTTAATCTTTTTATACAAATTCATTTTTTCCTAGTTCTTCTTTTAAGATTTTTGCACGAACTCCCCCTCCAAGGCATAGTCTTGTGAGTGCAGTTTGGGTCAAATGCATACAAATATGTGATAGTTTTGAGAGCTTTTGCTACGCCTCCTTTTGTCATATACTCGATGTCTTTAGTTGACTATAAGACCAGGGACTGTATCTTGCCCCCAGTCTGGGCCATGACAGAACTGACTGTGTTTGTGTTCCGAATGCTCCGCGCGTGTGTGTGGCCCTCTTATGCACACGCATCGCTGTAAGCCCGTGCACGCGGGCACACATCAACCTCTTCTAGTTTCCTCTGCGTTCGTTTAAGACCAGTGTCTAGCTCATGAACTCTCATCCCACAGCAGACCCGCTGCTTTCTCACTCCCTCTCCCATCTGTCTCGCAGTCCACTCCCACAGACTCACCTCAGGTACAGGTGTCCACCTCTGCTGCTGCTGACCCCTCACATTCTCGTCTCTCAGGTGTCCACTGCATTTGGTCCCACACAGATAGATGTCACGCAGATTATGGAATGCGTTTATAGTCATATAAATTAGGCCCCGACCGATATGGATTTTGCTGCGGCTGATATGATACTGATAAAATAGGAGTTGAAGCTGCCGATAGCCAATATAATCGCCGATATATTTAGTGATGTAAAAATTCACTGTAAATCTTGAATTGTTTAAAAAACTTAGGTTTATCTCTAGTGGATTTTAAATTGGGTTTATTTAGGCAACATTTATTGTTATTCTGCCTCTTTTCATCATATTTACAGAGAGTAGGTCAGCCTAATGGCATTTTTGCATCACATTCTAGCTACTAGTGATGGGTATTCCAGTTCTTTTTAGAGAACTGAACTACAGCCAAACATGCACACGCATATTTCTGAAAGTTTCGTTTTCAGCCGCTGCCTGCTGTCAAACTACCAAGCAGCGCCAGTTAGCCATAGCACGCCTTCAGGTCCGTGGCAGGCAGTCAGATGTTGCTTGTGAACTTGGTGTGTTTCAAAGTGTTATCGGCAGACTTGCATCAAGACTTAGAACTACTGGCAGAGTTGGTGACAGACCCAGGAGTGGAGCCCCATGAGTGACAGACCGCAATGATGACCAGTACCTAAGGACCTATGCGCTCAGACATCGTTATGCATCTGACACAGCTGCAGGCCCGTTTATGAGATGTGAGGGCTACTAGGGTTTCCAGACAAACCATTTGCAATTGACTCCACCGCTTTGGCTTGAATGTTAGACAACCGTTGCAGGTGACTCCACTGACACCAAGACACCGCCATGAACGTTTGCAGTGGGCACAAGACCATGTGACCTGGACCTGCAGCAGTCAGCGTTGCTGAAGAAGGCGAGGTGAGCGATATGCTGAGGTCAAAATGGTCCCCAGGGTTCACTGTGGTGGAGGAGGTGCAACAGTCTGGGCAGGCATCACCAGTCAGCGCAAAACAGATTTGGTTATTGTCGATGGCTCAGTCACTGCACGTTCTTACCTCAGAGACATCACAGAACCCATCATCATTCCCCCATTCCACCAGCACACCTCCAGCTTTCTGTTCATGGATGATAATGCTCTACCACATCGTGCCAGAATTGTCACAGCTCAACTTCAGGAAGTCGGAGTGCCTCATATGGTATGGCCAGTACTGACCCTGACCTGAACCCCATAGAGCACATCTGGGAGCAGCTGAAACAGACTGGATGATCGTACCCCACCCCCACATGACCTGGCAAAACTGCGTGTAGCACTTGTGGAAGAGTGGAACGCATTGCCTCAGAACAACATCATGAGGCTCAGCATGAGACGTCGCTGTCAAGCTGTCATTGCGGCAAATGGTGGAAACACCTGCTACTGCCATTGTTAATTTTTGTTACTGGGGGCTATCCTTGTTATTGTCTAAATCTTTGGGGTAATAAATATTAAACTAATGAAAATGGTGTTTCTTCTCATTCATTATTAGTAATAGCAAAGGGAACTTTTACTTATTTCATTAAAATTCAGACCAAATATGAAATGCACCCTTGTAAATAATATCCCTAACTTATTGTGAATGGTGTATTTACGGCCAATATTGTCACTTTACAATAGACCAATAGAAAACAGTCTGTTTATGTGCGGGAGCTACAGCAGCTAATCGCTAACCAAAACTAGCTTCAAAATTGACACATTTCCAACACTCGGCGCTCACACGGGCTCCTTCTCACATCACAAGTCTGCACTAATAAATGTCCTTTTAATCCAGACTCAAACAGATTGTCTGTAATAAGAATATAATCTAAGTGTTGCACGTGGATCTATGTCTGCGGGTGTAAACAAGTGCACATGAGTGACGTGACTCTGTGGTGTGTTCAGGGACAGTACGGACACACACAGACAAATGACTCCACAGATAAAAACTGATGTGGAGCCACATATTAGGACATTTATCTGTCTGTAAATTGGATTAAATGAACATAATGTAGAGAGTCTAAGATTTATAACAAGGTATAATATGCCCAGGACATGGCCAACCGATGTATCGGTCGGGCCCTAATATAAATGTTTCTGCTGTTACCGTTTTGTGCACACATATGATACGTGCGTCTGCTCCGCTCTCACAGACTTGAGCTGTCAGTGAATGCGCACGCAGAGTCATCACAGCAATAGGACCACAGATAGAGTAAGAAAACACACTTTAGGACATTGCTGTACAGATCAAACCAAACTATAGAGCAGAGCTGAGCCGATACAGGGAGCGGGTGAGGGGCTGTGCTCTGCTGCGGGAGGGCAACTGGACGACTCCCGCACAGCACACCAACATGTTATGGATGTTAAGCATTTATCATCCTAATATATTTCCAAATAAAAGAAGCCTTGAGCATGTTACATGTTGTTTTTCAGTGGACTTGTTTGATACTTATTTTTACGATTCTGGCAATTCACTGAATGCGCCACACCACGCCCTCAGTCTGCTCCACTCCACCTGATATTTAGGCATACACACCTCCTGTTTAGAACTCCACCCCCACACTTGCGTGGGTTTAAGTTTTTCTCATTTTTGTGTGCTATAGTTTACATTTCTCTATTTATATAGGGATAGCCCAGTGAGAGTCCCGGATTTTTTCTTGAGCTCCCTGTTTAGGCAATGCAAGCACACCAAACCAAACAAATGAGTATATTAATCCATATAAAACATTAAAAACAGGAGCAGGTGAGATTATAAACGTTTATCATCAGACTACTCAAATGCACCAATGGCACCAGTGTATCCAGTTTTGCACGTCCTTGAAAAGTCTTCTATTTTTGGAAAGCAAAACAACCAAAAGCTTTTTCCCCATTCCAGTATTGGTTCAGTTCAGGCAGTTTTTAGGGCACAGACAATCATAAGATCTTGTTTTAAAATTTCCCTACACTACACATTCTCAAAAAATGTAACTCGCCAGTATTTTTTCGATCCGAACGTAAAATCATGAGGAAAAAATCTCACAAGATAATTTTTACTACCGTATTTTCCGTACTATAGGGCGCGCTTAAAGCCTTTAATTTCATCCAAAAATGACTGCGCACCTTAATCCAGAGCACCTTATATATGAATTTATTTGAGTGTTATAGTACAACTTACTCCATGCAGAGCGGCAACCCCTATTCTGACACTTTTTGATGCCCCCATTCTGACAAGATGAACCAGGACCACTCCAGGACTATCTTGGATCTTGGACGAGAGAGAGGAGAGAGAGAACCGTGATCCCATATAGCAGGGTATTTAGAGCAGAGCTTTACGCACGCTGCTCTGACCTCCCTGCAGGTGAGAGCGGTGGAGATGCCAGGTTAATGAGTGCGTAAAAGTCCGCATCTTTAAGTGCGCGCACAAGAAAAAGCAGCTCTGCAGCCGCCTCTTTATAAACTTTTATGAGTTTATAAGGGACCCAGGCATTTCTGTGTCCCTATGTAAGGCTCTTCCATGATCAGGTAAAATTCCAATCCTTTAGCCCATATTCATGAAAATATCCAAATTCCTAAATCATTGATCCTTTTAGTGCCCCTATCTGACTGCGAGCTCGGCACTGCTTCATTCTCGCAACATGCTGAGCTTCACAGCGCATTCTCATGCGCCCTAGTCTTTGGTGACAGGTAATGAATGTCTACTGCTCCTGTCCATTCACAAAAATGTCCAAATTGTCACATAATCCAGTTTTTCGTAGTTTGTCTCCTTGGCCGTATCATTGCGCTTTGAGCCAAGTGTGCGTCACCACGCGCCTCCATCTGCAGTGACAGGTAACGCCCGTAACCTCTTCATTCATGAAAGTTGCAAATTCTTACGCATCTGTCCCTTCTAGCCACGCTGCTCGGCTGCACTCGCAGTACCAGGACCTACAGTGGTGCGCCTTCAACAACTGCATAAGATAAAAGTAGTGCTGTCAAGCGATTAAAAAAATTTAGAGATTAATTAATTATGATCTGTAATTAATTAATCTAATTAATCTTTTTAATCTCTTATAAAAATTGCTGAGAAAAGCTTCAATTTGAGGAATTTTCATTTAAATTCATTATTACATTATTGTGATGGATCAAAAGACTGATATAGAACAACAAAAAGTGACTTTATAAAGTAGTTTATTGTTTAACAAACTTCAACAGTTGCAGTCACTTACATTCCACAGTATCATCATTATTATTACTATTACTAATCTGCAGTGTTGGGAAGGTGAAATTTATTCCCCTACAGATTACATATCCCAAAATGTAGTTTGTAACGTAATCCATTAAATTACTTAAAGTGAT